ACCCGACGGCCAGGTGATGTCGCAGATCACACTGCACACACGCACCGGCCGAGCCGGACAGACGGCTAGCCTGGCAACCGTGTTGGCGGCCGCGGCTGAGCTGAGTCCCGGTGGGCAGGACGACAACTCGCCGGTGGGACAGTGCGACCTGGCTCCGGACAGGACTGTCGGGCACATTTTGCTGGCCCAGGGGACCGGTTTGAGGGTGGACAAGTCGGCACGAAGGCAGCCATTGTAATGCTTGACTCGAACAATATCGGGAATATTTATTATCTACGGTGCAGAGAGAGAACGAAGAAAAGACCATATATTTCCAGAGCAGCCGATCGGGCAGATTCACCAAAGACCAACAGCTTTGGTCCCTGGCACATATGAGATGTGGTCACCCTCTCTCGCATAAACTGATGAAGGAGTGGCGCTTACATTTTCACACAATTCCATCAGTTTCATATTGAATTTCACACAGCCTTGCCTCCCAAACGGTAGTCGCAACCAGGCAGGAGTGGACTGCAGCCTCGGCTTCGCCTGAACTGGACTCATCAGCAGCCCCAGCGGGACTCGAACCATAACACATTCACCACTACACCACATTATCACAATTGGCCTCAAATCATAGAGCGGATGCGAACTTCAAGGAAAAAGCCGGCCATTTTCCCATATCACAATGTGTGGTTGGCATAGCAATCGAAAAATTATTTAATTTTTTGTCCGATAGTAGTCTCGAGAGCCTACTTATAAACGAAACATAAGTAATGTAGTCAATTACTATGACAAATATAACTTTTCTTCATCGACAATCCCACCAGAGCATGTGATATGGCAAATTCATATCTTCCCTGTCACCCAATGGCACTTGTGGCAACCTGGTACGCTGCCGTAACACGATTCGACCTTCGCTGGGGGTGCTGATGAGATCAGTTCAGGCGCGGTCGAAACTGCAGTACACTTTAGCTTGGATGAGAATATCTTTTTGAGAAGCGGGGGTATGTGAAATTCAACGGAGACGCAAGGTATACATACTCGCATCGTTGTGGAAAAATTGAATTGCATCACCTTAAACAGAATAAGGTGAACAAATCACATATATTTGAATTACTAGTAGTCTCTAAGACCTA